GCAAATCATGCCTGTTGCGTTGTGTTGCTTCTGGAAAGCAAAGTTTGGGAAACCACACATTCAGACATACTGTTGTGTGGATTGGATGTAAAAAGAGGACATATTTTAAGGCTTCCTATTGTAACTATAGAAAGCTGACTTCTAATAATCCTGTTGCTTTTGGCAGTTCATTCTTTTCACATGCACTTCGAATTACAACTCCAGCAAAGGATCATATAATCGTAGGAATATGAATAACATTAGTTACCAATTTGTGCTTTAATTGTTTCAGATCTAGCTGTGGCCTGCTAGATCTACCGTCTAGGATCCCTAATAGTTAGACTTAAAAAGAACATTTATTTTTCTCATACTTTCTTTTCAAGCTTGAGATAGCCGAGAAGCACCCAGATATTTATGCTGTCCCTATCAAAACACAGAAGTCAGAACAGAACTGGCCTCAGCCTATGAGGTAAGGTGTACCCAGTTTAAAGCATTTTGTCTTGATTGTTTACCAGAAGGAGGAAGACTGATCTTGCCAATTTTCAGTCATACAAATAATCCTGCTTGGTATATTGCTTTGTTGTTGTGCGTCAAAGATTATTGTAAGGTGGGTCAAAATTTCAGTGAACTTGTTTTTCAGAGTATTTTTGAGTCACCTGTTCTTTTCTGAACTATATGCAGAGCCAGTTTTTTTCCTAGATCAGTATTACTCAGCTTTTCTGCATTCACATGCTCTGATGTCTCCTCTTTCTATGTTGAAGACTTGATGAATGTTAGTCTATCCTAACAAAAATTGCTGGTTTAACTACTTAATAACACTTAAATGTTTATTCAGTTACAGATGTATTGTGTGGGTATGAAAAGTGAGGATGAAACTTGTCTGAGGGCACCCATCAAGTCTCAGCATAGTAGTAGTCTTTTGTTAAAATTCCGTGACCTCTGGACTGCTTGACCATTGTGTCATCTTACCCTACACACTCTATATTTCCAACTTGAGCAGTCACCTGTGCAAAAGCTAATACACTGTATGATGTCTTCTGCTTTGCAGGACTTTGTTTTTATCGTCTCTTAGTAACAGCCAGTAGACGATGATGTCATAATGTATAATCTAAAATGCAAAAATTAAGTGATTATTTTCAGATTTTCCTGGTGGGTTCAGAAAAGCATACTTTTTTTTAAAGCTTCAGAAGCTTTTCAGAAGTAATCTTTAACCACATACACAGAATGTTTGCTTACCTACAGAAATCAGTGTTATTGCCCTTCTGTGGGAATGTTAATGACTGATTCAAGAGAGTATTTAAGTATTGGGATAATGTGGAAGGAGGATAATGTCTTGGTGTTGTATACCAGGGATTGCAAAAATCATGGCTTTTGAAACTGAGAAAATGCCTTTCCCTGGCAGATTTTATTTCTATATATCTGCTTAGTGTCACATTAAATGGGTAGCACCACAGTGTACAAAACCCAAATGTGTTGATTATTTCTGCCACTTTCAAGGATAAGAGCCCTACTGAGTGTCTCAAGTGAGGAGAGAAGGCTGCCAATTTAAGAAATGTCAGATGAGAAGACTTTGAGACAGGAAACTGGGGATGCAAAAGAAGCAGCAGGCATAGAAAGAATCTGGTGCAAAAGTAATTGAGGAAAACGTCAGTTGAAGTAGCAGCAGTGGCTGAAAACCTCTATGCTCAGGGAATAAAGTTCTGTAAAGCACTTTGTGGGGGTGTGTGTGTGGTGGTATTTAGTAATACTACATTTGCCGTTCCTCCAGATAGATTGAGTAGATCAAATCTGAACATGAGATTCCTGATGGAAATAAAATGTCTCTTCAAATAGGCTTATCATGACCATGCAATGACCAATTATGACCAACCATAAACATGGTCTGGAAGGGGTTTCTAGGTTGTTGTGCATGGCCGTAAAGCCATTGTTAAGCATAATTATTTTTTCAGACTAGAAGTAAAGAGTCTCTCTCTCTCTCTCCCCCTCCATGTCTTGCTATGTTAGCTGCAGACCTCCAGAACCTCAGAAACCTCCTATTAGACCTTACCTAGAGAACCGTGGCAGTTATGGCAGTGATGCAGAGGAGGAGGAGGAGTACCGTCGGCAGCTATCAGACCACTCTAAGAAGGGCTATTACGGACAGCCATCCAGATATCGGGACACAGAATTGTAGGCTTGCTAGTATGTGCATGTATAATGCTCTTACGAGGTTTCTTTCTTCACAGCCAAAGTGGAGCAGTAGTTAGTCTTGAAAAGCTGTATTTTTATTGGGGGTGGTGTTGGAGGGTACATTACTCACACATATCTATACACCGGAACTGAAAGAGTTCATTTTTGGGGATATTAATTATTTTGTTAGCATATAACAGAAGAAATCTCTTACTGCCTGAATGCTATTGCCTGTTTTATAAGGACCAAATCCTGACAGTTTGTGTTAATTTTTAGTGTTTTCATACTTTAACATAAACCCCCTTTTTTCCCTTTTTGCTGCCTTTTTTGACTGTTGTGTTATTAAAGTATGATCTCAGCAATACACTTCTTCATGCAATAGAACTAAATTTAAAAGTTTAACCAACACTAAGTGCCTTCAACAAGAAGCGTTTTAAACTGTTTTGACATCTGATACTTGGTACAAAGCCATAACACACTAAAAGGGGATTGACTGTTTTACCTGTCTTTTTTTATCAGTTTCATGGTAACAGTTCCCTTGCATGTTATTTTTCTAAGTTCATAGATGCATACGCAATATTTCATAAATACTGACTATACATCATAAAGGTGCAATTGACTGGATTGCTGGAAAAGACCAGGCTGTACTTGAACAGAGATAACGATGTAGAAATTCAATCATGTATTAAAATTTGTACAGCCTACAAATAATAAAGGATATATTCTAGAAAAATACTATGTATCTTATTTTTCTTTTGAACAGTATTAGTCTTCTGGTCTCTGACTTTCATGAGTATACTTAGAGCTGTACACTGTTCAGTTCAGAGTCTCATCTCCTGCTGTTCAAGTAGTGGGAAATGTCACTGTTGATGTTGCTTCCCAATGTTCTGAACGTGGTTTTAAAATTTGTTGTGATTTAAAAGAAAACTCATGCAGAACCAAAGACTTCCTGCAAGAGACTTATCTTTTAGAGTATTAACTACTGCCTTCCCATTCCTGTTCTTTATCCTTAATTCTCCTACATGGAATAAAAATTCTTGAAAGGGTCAGAGAAAAATTTCTTTTTGCTAATGCAATAGAGAAGATGGCTTTTTAATGCTCTTTTAAAATAAAAGAAGGTAGACTTTGAGCGGCGAATGGTGGCAGTGCCGGGGGGGAGCAGCAGATGCTGGGCCCTGGGCGGGAGGACCCAAGCAGGGTGAAAACCGGAAGCTCAGGTGAGGGGCACAGGTCAGCAGTGAACTCCTGCCCCAGCTGCTGGCAAGGAGCCCTGTGCTCATACCCCTCATATTGCGAGGGGACGGCTGCCGGTGGAGGAGGTCGGGGCGGTCGAGGAGAGGAAGGAGGCGGCTGCTGAGCAGCGGGAGAAGGCGGCGGAGGAGCCGAGCCCCGCAGAGGAGCCAAGCCCTGCAACGGCCGAGAGCATTCCCCGGAAGCCGCCCGCCGAGTCTCAGGAGGACGCAGGAGACCACGCAGCATTTCCCAGCAAGGCAGAGGAGGAAGAGCTGGACTCAGGAAAAGAGAAGCTGGTGGTGGGAGAGCCGGCAAGCACAGCAGCTACACCAGCCCCAGTGACAAGTACAGCAGCATCAACTGAGAGTTCTGAAGGTTTTGAATGGCCTTTGGGTCTCCTTGGGACCTGCCTGCTGATTGTGATGGGGATCAGCATGTTGGCACACAAACAGACTGTGTGCTACCACCACCATTTTGTCTGATCTCAGAAGTTAAACGGAGTCGGTTTTGGGTCTTGTCTGGGGTTAGATGACAATATAGGAGGACCAAGAGGTTTTCCCCAAGGCTGGACAGTCATGAGTGGCAGGGTGTGTGTGACAGTATGGGCAAGTATCTAGTCCACTGGGCCCCTCCAGTGCTTTGGAAGCGTCGGAGATGGAAGGCAGCTGTATGGAGTCCCCAGCAACAAGCTGCAGAAACTGCTGAAGGGGACAGTGAATTATTTTAAGCCTGGTGGGCCCATGGCACTTCAGGCCATCAGAGCAGAGATGCAACACAGAGATGGACTCATGATCGAGGGGTGGACTTAGCAATGGACACTATTGCCCAGGTTATTCACAAGTGTGAACACTGCACACAGTCTCTCCTGCTCTGAAAGACTGTTACAAGAGATGGAGCCTGACATCATGGACCAGATGGACTCAGCAGCTTTATAGCTACTGGTCCATGCACTTAGATAAGAGTGATGGTATATTGAAAATGTGGGATCTGAGCATGACGTGAATGGTATGGAATAAGGGGTGGATAATGTCCTGGGTTCAGCAGTAGCAGTAGTGTTTCTCCTCCTTGGTAGCTGGCGCAGTGCAGTGTTTGGACTTTCGGCCTGGGAACAGAGCTGATAGCAACGTTTTGGTTTGGCCAAGGACTTTGTGAGCCTCATGCTCTGCCAGGGAGGAGGGGAAGCCAGGAGGAAACAGAGACAGGACACCTGACCCAAACTGACCAAAGAGGTATTCCATACCACAGCACGTCATGCCCAGGATGTAACTGAGAGTTAGCCGGAAGGGCTGGGGTACTGCAGGGTTGGAGGAGGTATGGGTTGGTGCTTGGTCGGGCTTGGGGGGTGAGTTATCAGCTGGCTGGTGCTGGGGTGTTGTATTCTCTTCCCTTGTTATTTCCTTTGTCATTATTATCATTGGTGGTAGCAGTAGTGATTTGTGTCATACCTTAGTTACTAAACTGTTCTCATCTCAACCTGTGGGAGTTGCATTCTTCTCGATTCTCCTCTCCCTCCCTCCGGGAGTAGGGGGAGGGCAAGAAGGGGAGGAGTGAGTGAACAAGCTGTCTGGCTGCTTTTAAACCACGACACCATGCTTCCCCCATGCCCATAGGGCCTTCCCATGCACAGTCGTCTGGCCTGCCTGCGACACGGCACCCCCAAAGCTCTGGCCCAGCCTGAGGGCCTTGTGGAAGGGCTCTGGAGGAGTCAGGGGTCCCAGGGTCAGGGAGGCCTTGAGGCAGTGGGAGTCCCAGGAATGGGAGGTGGGAAACCTCAGGGAGCTTCTGGGAACCTGTGGGGTCAGGAGAAGGGAGGTAGGGTGCTAGGCAGCCATGAGGCCTGGTGGCCACACAGAGGCACCTGGCGGGCACAAGAGGTGTGGTGTTGTGCTGGTGGAATCACCCAAGGGACAGCATGCAGGGATTGTAGTGGTAGGACAAGTAATGGGTTCAAACTTAAAACAGAGGGTACTCTTTACTGTGAGGGTGGTGAGGCACTGCAAGTTTGCCCAGAGCAGGGGTAAATGCTCCATTCCTGGCAGCGTTCAAGACCAAGTTGTACAGGGCTTTGAGAAACATGGTCTAGAGTGAGGTGTCCATGCCCATGCTCATTGTGGTGGGGGGGGAGGTGGGTTGGAAACAGGCAGTCGTAAGTCCCTTTCCAACCCTAACTGTTCTATGGTTCTTATGATTCTATGCCTTGGCACAAGAGACACGGCTCCTCCGACCTGTGGACCCAGGTGTAAGGTGCAAGCAGCAGCACCCGGCAGAGGCCCAACAAGGCTCAGGAGCTCGCATGCTCTGGCTCCTGCAACAGCTGCCAGGGGAGCGGGTTCTGCCCCTCGGGTCTGGCCTGTGATGGCTGGAGCTGGCTGCACCAGGACAACTGCAGCGTCTCTCCCATTCTGCCTTATGCCCTGTTATGATGTCACAGCCATAACCTTATTCCTTGTCTCCTGGGCCTGATGTGAGGTCAGTTCCACGGCTGCCTGCCTGGAAGCAGCTCGCGCTGTCCTGTGGCACTGTGTGGCTGTGGCAGGAGCACTTCTGCCAGGGGACTGGCTTCAGCTTTGCCTGTGCGGCTGTGCCTCGGACAGGCAATTGTCTTGGGGCTGAGGAGCTTGCTTTCTCCCCAACATGCGGCAGAGAAAGGCTCCCTCAAAATCGCAAGAGGCACCAAGATCCCCTTTGAAGAGGAGAGCCGCCGGCACATGGAGACTAGGTGTGTTAATGGAGGATTTGTTCCTCCTGGGGGCCTCTCCTTGGTGTGAGCACTGGCAGAGCCTAATGCAGGGCGGGTGGGGGACAGGGTTGAAAAGCTGACAAGGGCTCTATGCAGAGCAGGAGCCGTGGAGTTTGGGAAGTCGCTGACAGGCCCCATGAGGCCCCAGGTCCAATTCCAGCGCTGCTGCTGCCAGTGCCAGCCCGGGGTCCTGGTGAGGGTACTCGGGGATATCCCTGCTGGTCTTCCGCACAAGCTGTCTTAGAGTGCCTCCTGCAGGCACTGTGCAATTCTGCCTGGGCAGCCTCTAGCAGGGCCGTGGGACAGCTGAGTCCTCTCCTCTCCCCCTGGGCCTCTGCTGCAGAGAGCAGCCCAGGGGACTTTTGGGTGCTGCAGGGATCTTGGGAAGAGGTGAAGGGATTTGGAGGAGCCTGTGCCTTCTTCCTAATCGGCACAGGGCCCCTGGAACGTCCACCCAAGGCCAGGCTGATGCAGAAAGGCCCGGTGGGCCGAGGATGACGGAGTGGAAATGGCTGTGACACCTTGCTGCTGCACCACCTGGCCCCCACCATGGCAGGCCCGTCTCCTGGGAGCCTTCCCCAGCCCTGTCTTCTGGTCAGGGCTTCTGTGCCGGCAGCTCCCACCTGCCTCAGATTACATGGCACGGAGACAGAGCTGAACAGGGCTCTCTCTCTCTTTCTGCCCCACAGGGTCACCTGTTCTCAGGCGGTCCAGGCCGTGACCCAGCAGTGGCCTGCATGCTGTGGGGACAGCTCACAACAAAAGAAGAGTAAGTTCAACTCTGCTATCCCCTGCAAAGTCCTCTGGACTCCTCCGGAGCTGGAGGAGATGATGCTGGCATGACTGCAGTAGACTGGGGACTGCAGGCTGCCCGGCTCTGGAGATGCATCTGCCCAACAAGTTTTTGCTGGGAGCTTGAATCCAAAGGGGACTGTGAACGCTCACAGGCTGTTAGCACCTGACCACAGACAGGGTGGAGAGCTTTCTCAGGAAGGATGCCCAAGATCCTCCCATTCCCTCCTGCCTCTCCCTGGTGTTAACTGAGCCAAAGAGGGTGAGGTCAAGAGGCCACCTGTCACTCCATCTTTGGGGCTGCACCCAACAGCCTTGCAGAGCCGGCATCATCCTGCTCCAAGGACAGCCTTGCACCAGCTCAGCTGTGCAACTGCAGCAGCGCTGGCTACTGTTTCCATATCTGTGTGGGATCCTGCAGTGGCCATGGGGTACACCCGTACGGTGGGAGCCCAGAGGCTGAAGCCTCCTGCTGCCCTCCTTCCCTGGACACGCTGTCTGTGTTGTGCCTGCAAGGGGTGCTGCCTGGCCCTCACTCCTTTGCTCCCAGAGTGCCCACAGCTGCCCCCTCCCCAGAGCAAAACTCTGGCCCTGCCCTGGCCACTGCTCTGGGGAGGGAGCGCCCTGCCCTGGAACCACTGCCCAGCTCCTGCAGTGTCTGTTGCTCATCCTAGTGGGTGTCCTCAAGCAGGCTCCTCAGGCTTTTGTCTGGTTACTTGCCAGGCGTCGTCTTGATCGTTTCTGGCCATCTGGTGCTGGCTCTGCTGTGCCTCCAGCGATACCTTAGTACCTTCACCTGCACTCTGTGAGTACAGCACAGCACATGTCCACTGTGGACTTGGGAGGGAGTGCGGTGGGCTGGGGGAGGCTGGCAGTACTGCGGACCAGGAGAGTGGTGGCTGCCAGGGCTGGGTCAGCTGCTTGGAAAGTAGTGAAAGCAAAACCCCTCAGCAGCCCCGCTTGCTGCACGTGTCAGTGGCCGAAAGCTTGGCCACCAGGGAGGTAGGTGCCTTGGGCACGTAAGAGTGCTCAGCATCCGGGCCAAGTCTGTGCAGACGAAGGTTGTGCCACGGCCTTGCAAGTGAAAACGCCCCTGTACAGGGCTCTGTCCCAGTCGGTGAGCACTGGTAACACCAGGATTCCTTCCGTTTCAGGAAAGAGATCACTCAGACGAAGAGCGGGTGCTTGATGATCCTGTGCCTGATCTTCTTAGCCAGTGTTGGTGAGCATTGACCACCTGCTGCTTGTGGTAGCACAGACACACTGGGTGCAAATTTCAGATGAGGGAGAGGTGCAGGAACCAGTGTGGCAGCCTCCAGCCTCCCCCTTCTGCAGCTCAGGGACCTCCCTACATGCGGATCCCAGCCAGCCCAAAGACAACTGCAGATGCGCACAGCGAGAAGGCGAAGCCAGTAGGACCCTTTTGAACAGAGGTCCCTCCTTTTGTACAGCTTTTCTCTGCAGACAGGCTGGGCACAGGGTGCCCCAGAATGACTTGTCTAGTCTGCAAACCCATGCATAGAGGCAGTACGTACTTCCAGCCTAGCTGCATGATCAGGACGTGTGTGCGGGAGAGGCAGATGGGCAGAGCTAGCTGGAGAGGACAGCCTGCAAAGCTGTGAATGGGGGCCAGAGAACATCTTTCTCTCTCAAGGAAATAAAGAGCCTGGTTGGCTCCTGTAGCCCTACTCTTAGAGGTGTGCTGGAGGAGCCAGAGACAGTGACAGCTTAGGGCCAGAGCTGGGCATGGCTTGGGAGGCAGAGCCAGCTGAGGTGAGGCTCCTCAGCAGTGCTGATCAGGGGGAGGGACAGAGAGATGGCTGTCTCGCAGCCGATGGAGCCCCATGTTGGTGCTCACCTCACCCAAGAGCGAACCTCTCAGCGAACGTCTTTCTACCCTGGTGTGGGAGGAGACAGCAGAAGTATGGGGATCACTAGAAACAACAGTAAATTCTCTCTCTTGCTGAACTGCAGCTGGTGCCTACTTTGGGACCTTTCTGCCAATATGGATGGTGCTGGCACAGGAGACGTCACAGGTCAGTGACTGTTGTGGGTCCCGCAGAGGAATGCTGCAGACGGTGGGTAAAGTCGCCAAACCCTCTGTCTCCAGGCTGTGAGCCAGAGAAACAGCAGCAGCTTGTGCTACACCTTTCTAGAGCTGCTGGCTCAGGAGGGCCCCTGCAGCTCTGGGACTCAAGCAGAGAGCCTTTCCCTTTCAGGTCATGCCAGACAAGCCTGCGAATGATCTGATGTCTGTGTGGTAAGAGCCCTCTCCTGTCCCAAAGCTCATTTGGTGTGGGAGCGGCAGCTGGGCCTGTGCTGTTTGCACTCCCATGCAAGTGTAGCACCCAGGGCTCGTGCCTTTCCCTCTCTTTGCCTTTTGCCCGAGCTGGAGGTGAAGGGAAGCACTCGCAAAGCAGGGAAAGAAAAGGCGGCTCGAGCACGTGTGAGCAGCTCACTGACAAGATCCGCTCTGGTGTATCCAGGAAGTCATTCAGTGCGCTGGGGAAACAAGTGGAGGGAGTGCAGCAGCTGAGGAAGGAGATCACAAGCCTGGTTGCAGAGCTGAGAAGTGTGGAGAAGGTGATCCTGCACTTGGGAAAGAGGGCTGGGACGAGCAGGACCCCACAGAGGATGCTTTCCTGGGGCTGCTGGTGTGGTTTTCCTCCTCACTCTGCAGCCCATACCTCACTGGAGGTTGAGCTTCTGCTGTAATGTCAGCTTCTGCTGGTTGAGCTTCTCTGCTGTAATGCCCCTTCCCCTGGCCAAGTTTAAGTGGGCATGTCTGGCAGTGGAGGACTGCTCAAATCCTTCTACTGGTGCACTGGAACCTCTAGTAATTCTGTCCTGGCCCCAGAGAGCGGTGACATTGTATGCCCTCTCAGGACTGTCTGGCCCTGGCAAGTCTGAGCCTGTCTGCAGGCTGAGCTGGACAGCATGGAGGTGGAGAAAAGGCTATTGGGCCCAGACCCACACCAGATCTTGCCTGTAGACACGAACACTGTTGCCAGGCCTTCACACATGAGAAGGCTTTGAGCCTGGCAGCTGCTGGGACGAGGCTTGTCTTGTGCTTCCTGACTCGGCTCCTTCCTTCGTTCTGTGCCAGCACTCCGTGCTCACACTGAATATGAACATCCTGCTGAGGTGGTTATGCGGCACGTTTCGTTTCCCCAGGAACTTCAGGACCTAAGAATGGCAATGTCTGCAATGCCCGTGGAAGAGAACATCCAGATGTCTGCCTGGATTCTGCAAAGCAAAGGTATGGATGCTGGCAGGCAGGTCTTGTTGCGCTGCGCTCCTCTTTAGCGCTCTGAAATGAGGCCACACTGCAGACTCCACCGAGCTTTCCTGGGGACTGAAAGCAAGTGGTTGGGTTGTCTTTTGTGCTCCACACGGTGGGGCCTCAGCTTCGGCCCCCTGCCCTTCCCATGGGGACTTGCAGCCTCCCAGCACCCGCAGACCTCCTCTTTTGTGCACTGTGAGAGAGGTGCCGTTGCTGGTCATGGGCATGCCCTTCTTGCCTGCATCACCTCTGAGGGCACAGGGCTGGGGGGACTGGTAGGCAGCCTTAGAAATACCCTAGAGCCACCAGACCCTTGGAGCCTGGGGCCTCTCACAGTCAGTTGCCCTCTTCTCCCTTCAGGGGCCATCATGGACCTGCAGAGATCACCCAGAAGCTATGCGTGGCCCTGCAGTGTGTTCGGGTTCCTTTGTGATTCGAACCGTCTGGATGCTTTTGTGCAGGTATGGTAGCAGAGAGCTTCAGTGCTGCTTCTGTGCCCCCTAGTAAGCTGGAGGGCAAGCCCCTAGGGTGCTGTTTAGCCTGAAGAAGCCTGAAGAAAAGGCAGCTGAGGAGAGACCTTATTATTCTCTACAACTACCTGAAAAGAGGTTGTAGGGAGGTGGCTATTTTTCTGTCACCTGGAATCTGGTTCAGGGCAGGGATGGTCATGGTATTTTGGGGTGGATGCAGTTGGGCTGCAGCAATACAGCAGCAGGGTCTCTCCCCATCTCCTGCCCCCTCATGGCCCCATCTGTGATGTGAAACACTTTGAGGTGCTGGAGCACATCCAAGGGAGATGAGCAAAGCTGGTGAAGGGTCTAGGGGACAAGTCCTCTGAGAGTGGTGGAGGGAAGTGAATTTTTTTAGCCTTGAGAAAAGGAGGCCTAGGGGAAACCTTATTATTCTGTACAACTACCTGAAAGGAGATTGTAGCGAGGTAGGGTGTCCATCTCTTCTCCCAAGTAACAAGTGATAGGACAAGAGGAAATGGCCTCAAATTGCACCAGGGGAGGTTCAGATTGGATATTAGGAGCAATTTCTTCACCGAGGGGCTTGTCAAGCACTGGAACTGGCTGCCCAGGGAAGTGGCTGAGTGACCATCTCTGGAGGTATCTAAAATGCTTTAGATGCGGCACTTAGGGACTTAAATTAGTTGTGGGCTTGGCAGCGTCAGATTTGCAGCTGGGCTCTATGATCTCAAGGGTGTTTTCCAACCTAAATGATTCTAGGATGCTCTCATTTCCCTTAGCAACCCCAGCTGCCTCCCCCAGCTCTGAACATCCCTTTTTAGATAGGGTATGGCAGGAGTCAGGGGAGATGCAGAGCGCTGGGCAAAGAGAGAGCTTTGTCCAGAGGTCTGGCTCAGGCGTGGGGTTATCAGACATTTCAAGACGGATGTTTTCCTCTCCTGGGGAATTCAGCAAGTCCTCTTTTCCCATCTGGGAAGACGTCTGGGCACTTCTGCCGTTTCCCAACACACCACTCATTGGAGCACAAGTGCTCTGCCGCCAGTACTACTGGCTGCAGTGGTAGCAGCATGGGCCGTGTCACACCCTCCCCAATAACTGCTGTTGCCCTCTGCTTTCAGATGGATATTTCCCCAGGATATTGCTGGCCTTTCCAAGCATCTCAGAGCCAGGTGGTCATTCGGTTGCCTGCACAAGTCCAGCCAACAGCGATCACTGTGCAGCACCCCTTGAAGGAGTCCTCTGGGCTTGGGGACATCAGCAGCGCCCCGCAGGATTTCACCGTCTCTGTATGTCTCTCCTGGACACTGGGGTCTGGGCTCCAGCCATGGGAAAAAGCTGTAATGGGGGCTTGCTGCTCTCTGTGGTCTCTCCCAAGCACTGCTGTGCCCCAAGGGGACATTTCAGGGAACATGCAGGGTGGCGTCATCCCATCTTAAGGCTCGTGTTTTAGCTCAAGAGCTTATCTCCACCATACCTCAGGCCAGCATGGACTGGAGCCATGTGAGAAGGGCTGGGTTGCGGGCACGGAGCCGGCATGCATGTTTTCTCATGGCTTAGTTGAGCCTGACCTCTGCCCTGTGCTTTATCTCCCAAGGGAATGGATGGAGAAAAGGAAACTCTGCTCGGGACTTTCACCTATGACATAGCGGAACAGCCGATCCAGACCTTTCCTCTGCAGGTGTGGGAAGTGTGTGTGGGCAAGACACCAGGGCAGAAACGTACATTTGCCAGCAACTCCACTGCAGGAGGAGTGTTGACGGTCCCTCCGGGGGCAGAGCTCCCGTCTTGGCTGAGGGAGATGTGGCCGAGTTGGAGGACTGGGCTAAGCAGCCCTCAGCAAGGGCAGCAAAAGCAGAGCAAGACCCATGTTGACCCTACTGGGGGTGCAGCTGCCCAGAGCTCCCCACCTATGCCTGCTGCTTCTTGTGGCCTTGCCAGCGACACACGTGCTGCACGCTGCCCGAAAACACAGTGTCAGGTGGCGAGAGCCAACAGGCAGCACCGTGGGGATGCCCAACCGGCAGTTGCAGGGTGGCCACACCTCTGGGCCTGAGCTCTGCTGGGTATGCAGCTGGAGGAGCCTCAAGGTGCTGCCACAGCCCCTGCACAGCAGTGCTCCCTGGCCACTCTGCAGCACAGAGACCACTGCGAAGGGAAGGGGTGGCAGGACAGGGACCAGGCGGTGCCAGGGAGGACACCAGCACTTTGTCCCAGCAGCAGCAGCACTTTCCCCAGGCTCCGTTTTGGCCCTGACCCAGCAAGCCTCAGGTCTGCACAGCAGCCCAGCCTGCTCGCTCAGGCCAGGGCTTTGCTTTGCCAGAGGCACAGGGGTGGGAGAAGGGAAGAAGGCAGAAGCTGTCAGCCGGGCCAGGGTGGGAGCGCACCTCCCAGAGCAAGGGCCAGACTGGCAGAGGAAGACGCGTGGGGCCTCCTGCCGCTCCCTGCACTCCACAAGTGACACGTCTCTTTGCTGTGTTTGCTTTGCAGAATGAGCTTCTCAGAGCCTTTCAGTTTATCAGACTTGCCATACAGAGCAACTGGGGCAAGTCGGGCAACACCTGCATTTATCGAGTGCAGGTTCATGGGAAGGTAGCGGGAATGAATGCTGCCGGCGGGTGACAAGGAGACCTCCTCCACTAGAAACAAAAGGAAGGAAAAGCCTCCGAGCGAAGGAGCATGGCTGTTCGTTAGCGTGAAGCAGAGCAATGTTGTTCCACAGGCCCGCTCAAAGACAACGCAGGGCCTAGACACAGCGGGAAACCTGGGCAGGCCTGTTGGAAACTTAAAAACATTTCTTGTAAAGGCTTGGGCAAGACACAGCAGTGAAGCAGTGATTTATTACATGTTTTTGCAAAAACGGGTGTCCTAACCGCCATCTTGTGGTCTTGTTCTGAAAGTTACATTTGTTTAAAGGCTGGTGGCAAAACCACTATCTTGATAACTTTTTACCGGCCCCAGAGGTGTGTGGAGTCCTGGGTGGGGCAGAGCCCAAGGTATTGCCCACGAGGAATTCCTTGCAGAAGCAGGGAGAAACTCCACTGGGCGGTTCAGAGGCACAGCAAGCTGCTCAGGTGGCTTGTGCCTGGTGTGACGGGCGCTTCTGTCCGTTGCTGAGGCTGCTGGATCCTCCAGTGTGGTCTGGGCATGCTGATGTGGCAGCCGCACACAGGAGCCTGCCTCGAGGAGCAGCCAGAGCCCCGGGGAGATCCTGGTTCAGCTCTCCTGGTTCAGCCCCCTGCCAAGCTGTCTGACTGGTTTTAAGCCACGACAGTGCTTTTTGGCACCCAACGTGGGGCAGGAAGGGTTGAGATAACGACAGATCTGACCGGATTAATAGTCATTCTGTTATCAATATTGTAGCCAATTTCGGTTTAAAGTATAAATTTTATTAAACTGAGTAAGCGACAGCAGATAAAACAGCGCCGCGTGCGCCGGAGAGTCCTCCGCCACGCCCAAGACGCGCACACGCGGTCCCTGGGAGGCGGTCCTTTATCTTTTTCGGTTCAAGGCCCCAGCCAATCCTATCCCCCCTCCTCACTCGGATGTTGACATGGCTCTTCCCCATTGGTTCCCTTTGTTGCAGGGGGGGTCTCATTACCGAGAAGTTTCGGGACGTTTCGAGAAGCTCCTAGAGGCTTCGAGAAGCGTCCGCTGCCAGCCTCCTCACCGTCGCAGCCCCCTCCCCTCAAGCGTTGCAACAAGACACCACGTCGAGCCACCCAGCCCCCCTTTTCTCTCTCACAATCCTGTGCAACAATACAACTGATCTCCCCCCCATTACATACAGCGTACAAGAGAATCAAAAAGTGGTATGACAGCCACAGAGAGCCTCCCTCCCCCCAAAATTCTTGATGAACAAACCCCACACATTACAATTCGTCACAATGCTGATTGGCTCTCAGAGTTGTTCTTGTTGATCTCACAGCTTCAGAATGTTGTAACTTACTTAGAGCCGGTATTTGCTGCGTTAGTGTTTATCAAGTGTGGGGCTTGGGCTAAGGTTCTTGTCTCACTGTGCTTTATGGCAATGACTTGTAATACGGGCGGGCTCCAGCAGCAGGGCGGGACGGACGTGGCCGTGGACTTGTACCTCCCCGTCCGGCTGCTCTTCACCGTCCTGGCCCTGGGCCTCGCCCTCGCCTCCGTCTTGGTGAGGCCGCGGGGAGCCGAGGGGGGCGGCCCCGGGAGCCGGCGGGTGCTGAAGCGGCACGGGAGAGCGGCCCCGGGGACCGGCGGGAGAGGGGCCGGAGGCAGCGGGGGGATGGCTGCTGGTGGAGGAGGTCGGGGCGATCGAGGAGAGGAAGTAGGCGGCTGCCGAGCAGCGGGAGAAGGCGGCGGAGGAGCCGAGCCCCGCGGCCTAGCCGAGCCCCGCGGAGGAGCCGAGCCCCGCGGCAGAGCCCCGCCCCGCGGAGGAGCCGAGCCCCGCGACGGCCGAGAGCATTCCCCGGAAGCCGCCCGCCGAGCCCCAGGAGGATGCAGGAGACCACGCAGCATTTCCCAGCAAGGCAGAGGAGGAAGAGCTGGACTCAGGAAAAGAGAAGCTGGTGGTGGGAGAGCCGGCAAGCACAGCAGCTACACCAGCCCCAGTGACAAGTACAGCAACATCAACTGAGAGTTCTGAAGGTTTTGAATGGCCTTTGGGTATCCTTGGGACCTGCCTGCTGATTGTGATGGAGATCAGCATGTTGGCACACAAACAGACTGTGTGCTACCACCACCATTTTGTCTGATCTCAGAAGTTAAACGGAGTCGGTTTTGGGTCTTGTCTGGGGTTAGATGACAATATAGGAGGACCAAGAGGTTTTCCCCAAGGCTGGACAGTCATGAGTGGCAGGGTGTGTGTGACAGTATGGGCAAGTATCTAGTCCATGCTTCCCCCATACCCATGGGCCTTCCCATGCACAGTCGTCTGGCCTGCCTGTGACACGGCACCCCCAAAGCTCTGGCCCAGCCTGAGGGCCTTGTGGAAGGGCTCTGGAGGAGTCAAGGGTCCCAGGGTCAGGGAGGCCTTGAGGCAGTGGGAGGCCCAGGAATGGGAGGTGGGAAACCTCAGGGAGGTTCTGGGAACCTGTGGGGTCAGGAGAAGGGAGGTAGGGTGCTAGGCAGCCATGAGGCCTGGTGGCCACACAGAGGCACCTGGCGGGCACAAGAGGTGTGGTGTTGTGCTGGTGCAATCAATCCCAATGCAGGGATTGTAGTGGTAGGACAAGTAATGGGTTCAAACTTAAAACAGAGGGTACTCTTTACTGTGAGGGTGGTGAGGCACTGCAAGTTTGCCCAGAGCAGGGGTAAATGCTCCATTCCTGGCAGCGTTCAAGACCAAGTTGTACAGGGCTTTGGGAAACATGATCTAGAGTGAGGTGTCCATGCCCATGCTCATTGGGGGGGGGGAGGGGGTTGGAAACAGGCAGTCGTAAGTCCCTTTCCAACCCTAACTGTTCTATGGTTCTATGATTCTATGCCTTGGCACAAGAGACACGGCTCCTCCGACCTGTGGACCCAGGTGTAAGGTGCAAGGCAGCAGCACCCGGCAGAGGCCCAACAAGGCTCAGGAGCTCGCATGCTCTGGCTCCTGCAACAGCTGCCAGGGGAGCGGGTTCTGCCCCTCGGGTCTGGCCTGTGATGGCTGGAGCTGGGCTGCACCAGGACAACTGCAGCGTCTCTCCCATTCTGCCTTGTGCCCTGTGATGTCACAGCCATAACCTCATTCCTTGTCTCCCGGGCCTGATGTGAGGTCAGTTCCACGGCTGGCTGCCTTCCTGGAAGCAGCTCGCGCTGTCCTGTGGCACTGTGTGGCTGTGGCAGGAGCACTTCTGCCAGGGACTGGCTTCAGCTTTTGCCTGTGCGGCTGTGCCTCAGACAGGCAATTGTCTTGGGGCTGAGGAGCTTGCTTTCTCCCCAACATGCGGCAGAGAAAGGCTCCCTCAAAATCGCAAGAGGCACCAAGATCCCCTTTGAAGAGGAGAGCTGCCTGCAACATGGAGACTAGGTGTGTTAATGGAGGAGTTCCTCCTGGGGGCCTCTCCTTGGTGTGAGCACTGGCAGAGCCTAATGCAGGGCGGGTGGGGGACAGGGTTGAAAAGCTGACAAGGGCTCTATGCAGAGCAGGAGCCGTGGAGTTTGGGGAAGTCGCTGACAGGCCCCATGAGGCCACGGACATAGTGGGAAACCTGGCCGGGCATTCGCTGGTTTGTGGAGAACTAGAGAGAGACACGGCCCAATGTACTTTCCACAAGGAATTCCTTGCACAACCAGGGAGCAACTCTGCTGTAGAGCACAGCAAGCTGGGAAACCTCAGGGAACTTTTGTGAACCTGTGGGGTCAGGAGAAAAGATAGGGAGGAGGGTAGCCACGAGGCCTGGTGGCCACACAGAGGCACCTGGCAGGCATGAAAGATGTGCCGTGCTGCTGGAATCACCCAAGCGACAGCATGCTTTGGCACAGGAGGTACAGCCTCCTCAGCCTGTGGTCCAAAGTGTGGGGCAGCAGTACTTGGCACAATCCCAATGAGGCTCAGAGTGTCCTGGGCAGAGGACAACAGGGTGGAAATGGCTGCACTGCCTTGCTTCTGCTTCCTTTTGGGTCATGGAGGGGCCATCTCCTGGGCGCTTTCCCCAGGGCTATTTCCTGACCAGGGCCTCTGTGCCAGCAGCTCCTGCCTGCCTTGGATCACATGCCATGGAGACAGAGCGCAACAGGTGTTTATGCCCCCCAGGTCCACCCTCAGGCAGCCCAGGGCACAAGTCAGCAAGGTCGCTGCTGTTTTTTGAGCATAGGGTCTTATGTTCAAATGGGTCCTACTCGGTTTGCCTTCTAAGGCTGTGTGCATCCACAGTTGCCTTTGGGCCGGCTTCAATAGATGTGTAGGGAGGTCCCTGAGCTGCAGAATAGGGAGGCAGGAGGCCACCACACTGGTTCCTGCAGCTCTCCCTCGTCTGAAATTTGCACCCAGTGTGTCTGTGCTACCACAAGCAGCAGGTGATCAATGCTTACCAACAGCAAAAGAAGATCAGGCACAGGCCCACCAAGCACCCGCCCTTTGTCTGGGTGATCTCTTTCCTGAAATGAAGGGAATCCTGGTGTTACCAGTGCTCATGGATTGGGACAGAGCCCCGCACAGGGGCATTTTCACTTGTAAGCTGAGATGCACCAAATCTGGAGGTCAGCTGCTGACAGAATGTTAGTAGACCGTCCGCTTTCCAAAGGAGCACGGTTTCTGTCTGCAGTCTTCAACGCTGCAGGCAGAACTTGCCAAAACAAAGCGCTCCAAGATCACTGTCAGACACAGAGTTAAATCCATCCAGTGAAATAAACAGAGCCAGCAATTGAAAAGCAGCTCTCTGGCAGTCTCTGCTCTGTACCTTCCCTCATTCTTACTGTGACAGCAGACCTGGTTGTACTTGAGATGAAGCACCTCATGTTCTGGGAATTTCCACAGTGCCGGTTGGAGCAGCAGGCACTTACTGCTGCTCTCCTGCCACCCCCATGGATCCATCTCGTATTCCCACAGCCAGAGGCTACTCAAGGACATGGCACAGCCTTCTCCTGCACAGACTCAGAGCTAATCCTGAGCACTCTGCTGTGACCAG